CCCACTTCTATGAACTTGTATTTCCTTCATGAAGGTGTTCTCTACCGCCACAACATGCGCCCTAATGGTCCTGACCGCCTTCTCGTCGTGCCTTCCCATTTGCGTGTAGATGTTCTCTGACAGCTTCACGATGAACCTGCTGCTGGTCACCTGGGAGTCACCCGCACTTATGATCGCGTCCGGCGCCGTTTTTTTTTTTTTCTGGCCAAGCCAGGCCAAGCCTCTGTGCAAAAGTATGTCGCCAGCTGCGACCTTTGTCAACGTCAAAAACGACCGACATCGCTTCCAGCTAGCCTTCTTAACCCTATTGAGATCCCGGCTGAACCATTCTACCGCGTAGGGCTCGACCTTCTCGGGCTGTTTCTCACTTCTGCATCCGGGAGCAATGGGTTGCCGTGGCGACCGACTACGCGACACGTTACGCGATCACCCGCGCTCTTCCAACCAGCTGCGCTACCGATGTCGCTGACTTTCTACTGCATGACATCATATTGCATCCCGGCGCTCCTCGACAGCTCGTTACCGACCAAGGCCGATACTTTTTATCGCGTGTCGTCCAGGATATCGTACGTTCCTGTTCCACGAACCACATGTTCACAAGGGCATAGCATTCACAAACTAATGGACTTACAGAGCGCCTGAATCGCACTATCACTGACATGTTGTCAATGTATGTTTCTCCAGACCACCGTGACTGGGATGCAACGTTACCCTACGTCACCTTCGCTTACAACTCCTCCAGACATGACACCGCAGGCTATTCCCCATTCTACCTGCTTTATGAACGTGAACCCTCTCTGCCTCTTGATACACTCCTTCCCACTAGTTCAAGTTCCGCTGTCACATACGTCCGCGATGCCATAGAGCAAGCCGACGCAGCACGACAGATTGCCAGAGAACGACTCATACTTTCTCAAGCCTCTCAGAAACATTGATACGATCGTCACCACCGTGAAGTTTCGTATGCACCAGGTTCTCTAGTACTCTTGTGGGCCCTATGTCGTCACATCGGCTTCTCAGAAAAGCTTTTATTTCGCTATGATGGACCATACAAAGTCCTATGCAAAATCACCAACCTCACCTACGAGATACAGCGAGTCGTCGATGAAGCGCACTCAACGCTACCACCACCAACTGTTGTGCACGTCGTAATCATGTGTCACCCAACAATCCCCTTTTGTGACAAGCGCCGGGTCGGCGCTTTTTAACGCCACGGGGTAGTGCCACAAGGCAGTAATGGGATTGGGGCATAAAGCGGTAGAGGGTCCCTGCCTGAAAGAAAAACTACGAAGTGGATAGAGACTGGTCCCAGCCCGCCAGTGTGCCAGGCATTGCCGTTGCGTGTAATCATCGTAAATATCTGCAAATATACGTTTCCTTGTAAGATTATGATCAAATTCTGGAGCACTATCGCTTCTCGATGGCTTTGTAGATAATCCAGGCACTGCCAAACTCACATATAGAGCCGGAGAAGACGGTAGTGTTTCCGTAATACGCAGCCCTTTAGAAGGCATGCACTGCTGTCAACTTTCGGGGGTGTGGTGACACTTCCGTCGCGATGCTTCCTCAGAGCGGGGCAATCAGAGGGCGGAACTCGAGAAAATGTGCCGAGGGCTCACATCTTCTGATCATCAATACTTTCAATGCATCTTTTCTGAAACTCAGCTTCATGTGTCCCGCATAACGATCTCCAATCATCTTCGAAGAACGGAGCCCTGCAGGGTGAACACGCTTGCGACAAGGCTTTCCAGCGCGTTAATTTCGCACAGCTTAACGCGAAAACTGCATCCACCAAACCACCCCGACTCGTGATGACTGACGGCCATGCCCGAGTGGGCATGCACGAACTTTCATTAAGCCACCATGCTTGCCATCACATCGCCGCTTGCGGCGTCTCGCATCAAGAAGCGGCACTTAATTAGGACGACATTAGAGTCACTTCATTAGTTGACATTCTGCTTAACGAGCTTGGCTGACTCGCAAAGCAGGTGGATGCACCCTGTGCACATAACGAGGACGCGCATCCTGAAACAACGCAGTGACAGCAGAATCCGTGGACAGCTTCCGTCTTCTTTTTTTTACTTCCTGTCCTTTCGCAAGTCCTGTTCCTTCCTTCCTGTTTGTGTCTCTCAGTCTAGCTGTTATAAGGCAGGCACTGCGCGTAACGACCAGAATCGACGTGTTCCTTGCACAAGCTTGTCACTGATTCCTTACTTTTTCTTTCTTTGCTTTTTCTATGTTAGAAATCGCACTTCACCCGCACCGTCCTTTTTGTGTGTGTGTGTCAACGATCTCTTCATAACCAAGCTTGCTTTACTCCCCAAGCGTCACGCCTTTCCACGATAAGCTCTCGACTGTGCACGAAGGCCGAGTTTTTGTGAGCTTGTTGTTATAGTTTACTTACTTTTCGGGGCGAAGCAGCTTCTGCTGACGCACGCTGCTTGAGGAAACCGCGCGTTTCGCGAGCGCCGTTATAAGCGAGAGAGTTGTGCCGTTTCTTGATGACCCGGAATGTAGAGGTTGAAAACTTGTGAATTTCTTTTATGTGACGTTCTTCATGCGTGAACGCCTGGAAAATGAAAACAATGGTCTTGCGACTATTATTTAGGATATTCTGAGATTTCATGATCCACAGAATTGATTTTATTACTGAACAGAAAGTAGACAATGAAGCGTTAAAAAAAACTAGGAGAGCTTTGCACTAGTGGTTCCAAGTGTGAAGGAGGGTTGAGCTTGTCAGTCTTCTTGTTTCGCTTTGGCACTTTCCTTTTTCTTTATCTGCGTTTTCCCCTCGCCGCGGTGGTCTGGTGGCTAAGGTACTCGGCTGCTAACCGCAGGTCACGGGATGCAAATCCCGGCTGTGGCTGGCTGCATTTTCGATGGAGACGAAAGTGCTGTAGGCCAGTGTGCTCAGATTTGGGTGCACGTTAAATAACCCCAGGTGGTCGAAATTTCCGGAGCACTCCACTACGGCGTCTCTCTTATTCATATGGTGGTTTTGAGACGTTAAACTCTACATATCAATCAATCAATCAATCAAATTTTCAATCGTTAAAGTACAAAAGAGAGAAAATATATTAGAGTGAACACGCACACAACAAGAAAAAATTCGGCAGATCCCTCGTACCTGGGAATCAATGTTATGCTAAGCATGCGGAGGGAAGTTGACCATGTTGCATATTTTTTTTCATTGAGTGACACGTCATGAAATGATGCTAAATATATGTCCAAATATTGCACGTGCAGACATATATTGAAGAGTTGCAGATGTTTACATAACCAGTTCTTTGCACTTGCGCAACAATGTGAACTGTAACATTGATCATATTGTGGCGTTTAACGTCCCAAAACTACGACATGATTATGAGAGACGCCGCAGTAGAGGGCTCCGGAAATTTCGACCACCTGGGGTTCCTTAACGTGCACCCAAATCTGAGCAGACGGGCCTACAACATTTCCACCTCCGTCGGAAATACAGCCGCCACAGCAGCCGAGATTCGATCCCGTGGCCTGTGGGTCAGCAGCATAGTACCTTAGCCACTAGACTTCCGCGGCGGGGCTGGGAACTGCAACATGAGTATTAGCAACGCCAGAAGATGATACAAAGCGTTTATGCTCGCGAAGATGCTGGCCTTCGACACTGCTACATAAATCAACACAACAATTGACGTTAACCCGACGTGACAGATATATCAAAGGGGTGCGTATGTAATGTTTATAAAATTGGGTAGGCAGCCCTGCAACCACTATTGACGTTTAACGAAGATTAGCGTCTATTTGAAAAGTAGTTCTGAAAGCTGGCGTACCTCTGTGGTAGAATCCTTGACTGCAACGCAGAATGCTTGAGTTCGATTCCTGCTGGGACCCTGAAATGTATTAGTTGAAATCGTCGGGGGGGGGGGGGGGGGGGGGTCAACGCTGCCTATGTCAGGTTTTTTGTTACAATGGCATTTATTCTATGCTTTCGTTGGGTCGACACTGCCGGCGTCGGGTATCACTTAACGCTTACCCATTAAAAATGCCCATTCGTGTTCTCGTCGTTCTTTGGGTAGATACTGTAAATGGCCTGTGGCACATACCAACATACCAGCGGCTTATACCCACCCGTTGGTATGTGTCACTGTCGGGCGGGAAGTGTTTGACGACGTACGCGACGGGATTGTGACATTACGCAGGTTTTGATCAGCACGTCATATTCGTCAAACCATCCTACCCTCCCATGCTAACTTTGGTTCACGTCAAGTTAAGGGGATGACCACGAAAGCATCCAAACGTAAGCGACAAGGATAGATAGATAGATAGATAGATAGATAGATAGATAGATAGATAGATAGATAGATAGAGATAGATAGATAGATAGATAGATAGATAGATAGATAGATAGATAGATAGATAGATAGATAGATAGATAGATAGATAGATAGATAGATAGATAGATAGATAGATAGATAGATAGATAGATAGATAGATAGATAGATAGATAGATAGATAGATAGTAGATAGATAGATAGATAGATAGAAGATAGATAGATAGATAGATAGATAGATAGATAGATAGATAGATAGATAGATAGATAGATAGATAGATAGATAGATAGATAGAAGATAGATAGATAGATAGATAGATAGATAGATAGATAGATAGATAGATAGATAGATAGATAGATAGATAGATAGATAGATAGATAGATAGATAGAGATAGATAGATAGATAGATAGATAGAGTCACCAAAGTCTGCTCTGAAATGCTTCGCATTTAGAAAGTACAGTTACCTTGTCAAGGTCACGCTGTTCATAACGCTGCATGGTTATAGGATATGCCCATGGCACATACGCAGAAGAGACATTCACTGCAGTCTCAGATAATTACGTCTCTTAGACATTAGTGGTCGGCCTGTATCCCAGATAAGTGTGTTTCGATAATGCAGTCAACTTTCAAAGTTAGGTCAGCATAATGTTGGAGACCATGAAGCAAAGCTAACATACCGTACTTGCTGCAGTGCCTCCGCATTGGATCAATGAGCCAGCGGACACGTCAGCCGTGGAAGGCCACAGTGCGAGCATGGACTGCGCTGCCGATGGCCACCCAACACCGAGAGTCACGTGGCACAGAGGAGTCGGTGAGTGACTACGTCATTCCGCACGTATTTACCACCACATCTATTAGACGAAAATGCTAACGCTAGACAAACAGCCGTAAAAGAATGCACAGTACAGGCAGCACGGCAGAAATATGCCGTCGAAAGTAATTCTTTTAACAATCGAAGATATGAGATGCTTTGGCCACAAATAACACACAGACAAAGTAAAGAAACACTCAACGACAAGCACAAGCCGCGTGCTTGAGCGTTTCTTTAATTTGAGTGTGTGTGTGTGCGTGTGTGTGTGTGCGCGCGTGTGTGTGTGTGCGTGTGCGTGTGCGTGTGTGTGTGTGTGTGTGCGTGTGCGTGTGTGGGTGGTTGTGTCATTTGCGGCCAAAGCATGTCAGTAAGCAAGTACCAACTAGGCCAACAATCAGTATTGTTAGAAGATATGAGTATATTGTTTACTCTATATATCCATGCAGCTCCGAATCCGCCGTTTTTCCTCGCCACTGGAGTCACGTTTGTGTTTTGTACAAAAGTTAGAGCTCCTCAGAGACTTTTCAACTATCATATGATAGCTTAAGACGTAACCTTCATTATTATTTTGATTTTTCCAGTATGCAGTGAGTTAGTACACTTTGTTGTGTCGGAAGTCTACAAACTAGTAATAAAAGGCTGCCCGTAGATTTCAGCGCACCCAAAAAAAACGACAACGTATCCACGAAGTGAATGATGATGAGTGGGGTGAAGCGTTCGTCCATCTGTCTGTCGTCCGTGCATCCGTCTGTCTATCCGTCCGTCCGTTCGTCCATCATATCACGCTAAAGCACGCATCATGCGGACGGACGCGTCACCCCATTCATCATCATTCACTGCGTGGATATGCTGGCTACGCAAGATGGAATGACGATCGACCAGGTGATGCTATTAAGAGTTTCGCCCCAGAACAGTGGCCTGCGTCGGAAGTAGGCGCAACTGTCAGTGCTTATGCTTAAAACAATTCTTCAACCTTAATGACCAATTGCTCCAATTGCACTTTTGGAGCAATAGATTAACCTGAAAGGTAATATTCGTGAAGTCAATATTGTGAAGACGTTTATTGGTGGGCAGTCGGCGAGGATGCATGACAGTGACGGTCAAGGTGGGCGTGACCCTCTGCACGAGTTGCTGCTGTTGTACAAAGAGGGAGACCCACCAGAGGGCGCTGTAGAGGACGACCCACTGTACAGTTCCAAGGCTTGGCGACACTATGAACACCTTCTGTTGTTGAATACATTACTGAATTTCTGTACTTACATAGAGCTGGTCTGTCTCTTTTATCGATACAATTTACTTTTTTTCTGGAGAAAATAAAACTTTTTGCCGTTGTTTATCCATGTTTTATTAGTGAAGGCTTCACACTTGGAACATTTAAAAGTCTTCGTTTCATAAGAAGTCTATCAGTGCGTGAATAATATGATGTTGGGATAAGATTTAGCTGTTGAGAGTGTGTTTCCTTGCCTCGGAATTCTCGACGGAGCTAATTGAAGGCTTTCTGTTTTTCTCGTGCTAAACTTAGTTCTTCAATATGGCCACAATTTGTATTTTGGAATAGATTCGTTGTTCTATGCGTTATATTTTTTGTTTGATTTCGTTTCTTCATATTCAATGATAGGCACTCCTTATAGTTTTGTGTTCTCGTTCCTAAACAAAACAAGAGAAAACACTAGGTAAAAACTGATAAGATAGCAAGCTATTGTCAAAACTAAATCCTTTGCAAATTTTATATGCTGCAGTATACCATTCCGGGGTGTGCTATTTTGACCAATAGTTTTTATAAGAAAGCTCTCTTACAGCAACAGAGGTGTATTTGCTCTTATTTGAGAGTTGTAGGTGTTCGAGGCTGAGGCCAACTTCGAGTTGAACCTACTCAGGGAAGAGGCGGAGACCGACAGAAATCATGTTTACTGATCTGAACCCAGCCGCGATTGCCCGCTGCCAGCGGCTGCCGCATGCCACCAGCACACTCACGATCGCCGTATTCATCTTCTACCTCCGATCGGCGCGCTCATGGTAGCCGCTGCCATAGAGTAAATAAAGAAGTGAGATGACGGAACTACCTGCTGTCCCAGTAATACGTATGCAGAGGTAAAAGCGTCACACATGGGTGTTTTAGATGCTAAGCAGCTCTTTGACTCACGCGTGTAACGCCGTATGTACATGTGTCAAGTACCAACGTGCCTCAACGTGTTTGTTCCCCTAGATGCAGGTGTCGGAGCAGTGCCAAGTAGGTCACGCCACAGTTGCGCGTCGACGTCACGCTCCCCTCACAGATGCACGCACACGTCACCGCAGACGTATGACCCTCACCGGCAGCACGCTCACCGCCGCGCCCGCAGCTGCCTGCTCCTCCGCCCACTCGCAAGACACTTCTCCCTCGCTTCACCCTCTCTACCGCCTACAACGCTCGACTAGATGTCGAATGGAAACACTATTTCGGCTCGTTTATCTGCGATGGAGAGAATGCCGGAAGACGGCGCTCCTTCGCCCGCTGAAACGCTGATGCGACTATGCCCAACCCGACCGTCACCGGCGTTGCGAGGGTTAGCGACGTCGAGCACGTTCGCGAATGGCGACGTTTTTTACTCGAGTAAACGCTACACCGAGTTTCGCTATAAACCATTCTTACAGCACCCGTGTCCACGCCCGTTGCAACCACGTCAACGCCGTGTGCACCGTTCCCATCAGGGTTCTCTTCATGAATATAGTCCAAGTTGTTTTAAATGCAAAGCATTTCTTTGCGTACAGCAAGCACTTTTGGCGTCGTTCTGCGTATCTATCTATCCATCTATCTATCTATCTGTCTATCTATCTATCTATCTATCTATCTATCTATCTATCTATCTATCTATCTATCTATCTATCTGTCTGTCTGTCTGTCTGTCTGTCTGTCTGTCTGTCTGTCTGTCTGTCTGTCTGTCTGTCTGTCTGTCTGTCTGTCTGTCTGTCTGTCTGTGTGTCTGTCCCACCCCTTCCTGTGCCCATCATCATCCTACATCACTCGGTCTTTGCCCCTTTCCGTATTCCCTGTGTATATGGAATACGGAAAGTGTGTTGTAGGCTATAGCACACTGACTGCCTCTCTGCCTTTCAATAGGGAGCAATGAGAAGAAAAAGAAATGAAAGCAGGGAGGTTAACCATATGCTAGTATGCGGTATGCTACCTTGTACTGGGCTGGGCAAAAGAGGGCTGAAAGAGAAATAGAAATAAAAAATAAATAAGAGCAATACACGGACAATGAATTCTCTTCTTTCAATAAATTCTCTCTCTCTCTCTCTTTCTCTCTCTACCTGCTTACATCTGGTAGCTCTCGTGGTCACCCTCCCGCCCCCTAACTTGGTGTGAAGCAAAATTAGTGTGGGAGGGTAAGATGGTTTGACGATTATGACGTGCTAGTGAAGGCTTGAATAATGTCAAAATTGCGTCACGTATGTCGTCAAACACTTTCTGTTAAACAGTGGCACATAGCAGCGGGCGGGCATGTGCCACTGGGTATGTGGGTATGTGCCATAGGTGACAGAAACTTAGTATCTACAAGAACGGCGAGAACAAACATTGTAATTTCAACGCGTTAGCGTTAGAAAAAGGTGACATCGGCAGCGTTGCCCAACGAATGCATACAATAAATTTCAGGGTCCCAGCAGGAGTCGATCCCCCAGAATTCTGCGTGGCAATCAAATATTCTACCACAGCGCTACGCCAGGTCTCAGAACTACCTTTCAGATAGACCCTATAGTATTCGTGAAACGTTCCCTATTCCCCCTTCCCCTAGTTCAGGGTAGCAAACCGGATGCTCCATTTTCTGGTTAACCTCCCTGCCTTTCCCTCATCTTATTCTCTCTCTCTCAATTGTGGTTGCAATGCTGGCTATTTAATTTCATAAACATTACATATGTACTATTATGGTATACCCGTCATGTGCTAACCTCAATCAGAGTTAGGTGTCATGCATTGAAGTTGATTTACGTAGCAGTGCCCAGGGCTACCATCCTCCCGAGCACCAGCGCCTCATATCGGCATATCGCTTCTGGTGTTGCGAACACTCATTCATGTTTTTGTTGACACCGTTGCGCAAATGCAAACAACTGGTTATATAAACACCTGCAACTATTGAACATATGCCTGTGCGTGCAACATTCGTACATATATTTAGCCTTATTTCATAACGTTTCGCTCAATAAAAGATTCCAACATGATCACCTTCCCGCATAACGTCTGTTCGCAAGGTTCCTGAGATCTGTCGATTTTTTTGTCAATATTACTCTACAAAAAAAATAAGGAACTACAAATTGGAGCACACAGTTCAGAAACAAACTCCGAAAATTCATTTATTCTTGTTGAATCCTTTGAAGAAAAATCTAAAAGAAGACAAAAACCAGAAGATAACACGAACCAAACTAGCGATGCCGCTGGGAGTTTCTGAAACATGTATGCGTGTTTCTGCGCTTCTCACTCAGAGAAAATGCCCGCTCAGGAACAAACTTCCCAACCCCCCCCCCCCCCTCCCACCCAAATCGAGATGGGCAATATGCGTCTCCTTGATAGCTTATATAGGAATAAACGTTCCGGACAACATGCACTTGCTAAAACAGGAGCTATAGAATAAAAAGTGAGATAGATCCACTTTCAGGACACGATAGACACAATCACATTTTCTGTACACTACACAGCACTTGTACCTGTTAGCGCAGCAGCACCATGCATCTTGCGCACGGAAGCAATACTAAAACGATCTGTTGCCCCCAAAAACAGTGCGAATATGCGAGAATTTGTATATGTGCCTCGCGCACGGTGCTCCTCGCGTGAACTTCTCACGTTGTGTTCTCCGCAAATAGAACAGGGGCGAGAAACAATGTCTTCGCGTCGAGGCACGCGAGAAAAAGAAGAACTAAAGTAAAATGAAGAGAGTATTAAGCGATGCTCTGGGCCTCCACGAGCGCCTTGTCGTTAAAAATGCATCATATTCCCGCTTCGGTGACAAATCGGCGTTAGATTG